ATATATATATATATATATATATACATATATATATATATATATATATATATATATATATATATATATATATATATATATATATATATATATATATATATATATATATATATATATATATATATATATATATATATATATATATATATATATATAATATATACTTGTTAAAGTAATTTAGAATAATTTCTAATTTTAAATTATTCTAAATTACTTTAACAAGCTTAGCAATATTATGAGTTGACTGCAAATGATTTTTAACTTGGTTTTAATAATAAAATCATTCGCGCTGAAACTTTTTATATAGATTTCAAGAAGTCTTTATGGAAAAACAAATATAGCGTGATGGTCATAACGAACTTTGTTACATCCTAATATATCCCGTATATATATATATATATATATATATATATATATATATATATATATACATATATATATATATATATATATATATATATATATATTTATATATATATATATATATATATATATATATATATATATATATATATATATATATATATATATATATATATATATATATATATATCTTGCCTTGTTACGAGATTTCGCTGCGTAACGGAAAAGCAAAACGTGAATAAATGTTACTTTACTCAATAAAGATATTTACATTGTTAAAAGTTAAATAACGTCAGTTGCGTTTTTACTTCATTGTAACTAAATTTAAAATGACATTAAAAACTATTGTTAGTCTTTGAAACAAAATAGCTTTAAATTGAACAATATTGTTATAAAAAAAACTAAAGTTTTAATGTTGATTAAAAAAAAGTCTTTTTGTATTAAAATCTTATACTTATTTAAACTTATTTTTTTTGCTTTCAAACATTTGTTTTATGGTTGTTGTTTTTTTAATATTTTTTTTTAAATAATTTAAATTTAACACTTGTTTATGTTTGATTTTCTTAAAGGGATTTAAATGTACTTATAACTAAACGCATAGATTGGGTTTTCCCAAATTTTGGCTTTGTTTTATTTTTATTTCCATTAAAATATTTTATTTTTATGTACAGTGAAACCTAATGTATTTTTACTATTTTTTACCCAATCCAAAAAAAAAAAATAGTGTTTTCGGTTTTAAGATGTTATAAGCAGAATTTGTTTTTAACAAATAAAATTTATGTATCTTATATTTATAGCTCTGGTACTAGTTTTGTTTTTAAAATAAAATAAATATAAGTTGGGCTTTTAAAGAGTTTATTTACTGATCATGTTATTTTTAATAGGTTTGAATTTTGGTTTGTTTTATAAAAAAATTCTTTGGCAAACGGCTAAGGGAAAACCCAAACATAATATTTATAACTCGAGTTTAAAAGAACTTTTTTGTATTGACGTTATTTATTAACTTGTAGTTATAAAATGAATA